CACCGCCAGCTTGTACTTCTTCTCCTCCAGCGTGGCGTTGGCGGGGGCATCCGGAGCAGCTGTCTCGTTGCCCACGGAGCTGTGGTTGCCCCCCGCAGGCTGGCTGCTCTCGAAGATGTCCAGGATGACGGGGTTGTCCTTGTCGTGCTCGTCGATGAGGACCAGGGGGATCTGGTGCCACAGCTCCAGGTTGAGCGGCTCGGAGCCGTTCTCGCTGCCGTTCCCCAGAGCGGAACCGTTCTCGCTACCATTCCCCGGAGCGGAGCCGTTCTCGCTGCTGTTCCCCGCTGTGGGCTGCAGGATCCTCTCCAGCGCTGCCTCGATGAGCCTGTCCAGGTCCCTCAGCAGATGCTTCACCTCCGAGTACCTGCGGGACACAGCACGGTTACAGGGCGGGGGCACGGCGGGGGGATGCACAGCAGCTCCGCTGGCCTGGACCTTCCTGGGACCTCGGATCGCTGCCCAGAGATCTGCTGGAGAACAGCGGGAGGCTGCGCAGAGCACGGCCAGCTCGGGCACCGCACCCCAGCAGCCTGCAGCCGGGCGGACCCCAGTGGGAGGATGAACAGTGAGTGCTGCGGTGGGAACCCGCCGGCAGAACCGCGTGGGTCCCATTCAGCAGGGTGATAACTGCAGTTTACACAAAACATCTCCAGCGAGCGGAGAGAGAAACAGCCCCAGAGTAACTCCTGTGTGCTGGCTGAGAGCATCTCGCCTTGGGCATAAATTTAAATCGACTGTAACAAAAATCAACAAACATTCACTCCTTTGAGGTGATGATGGATTGATGTCACCGCAGCTCCCCGCTGACACTGGTGTATAACCAGCTCCTAACGGCTGGAGCGCGGGCAAGAAGAGGTACGTTCACGGCAAGGAAGGGAAAGAAAGGAATTGCGGGGAAAGATCGAGAGTGATTCTGGCCATGACAAGCGAGTTGAACTTTGAGTTTTCCCTGAGCCAGGGCGAGTTTGCAGGGAGGCGATAACCACCGTTAGATCAACCGATACAGTCAGAAAAGCAGCAAACCCGCGGGCACACGAACCCTCCTCCGGACGGGAGCCCTTCCCCTTCACACCGTTCCCTTCGGGTCTCAGCGCCTCGTGGCCAGCCAAAGGCTCGTCTCCATGGATGCTCCCGACATGGAGCGGCCCCGCAGCCCTGGCGCTGGCGGGGGAACAGAGGGTGTCAGCGCACAGCGGCGCAAAGCAAGACTTACTTGAAGGGGTTGGCATTGCAGACCGTGACCGCCGGGAACTGCATGGTCTTAAAGCCAATGGAGAGGGAGGAGGTGACATTGTAGGAGAGGTAGGTGTTGATGAGGATGCCCCACTGCCAGAAGACCAGAGACGCAAAGAGCAACGTTAGGAAAAACCAGACGAGCTTCTTCTTGGGCCCCTCTTTGATGATGCGCTTGGGGCCGTGGGTGTTGGTGTTGTCGCAGTACCAGACCAGCAGCTCCTTGTAGGTGTAGCCGGGGCCCTTCTGCAGCCGGTGCAGCGCCCGCACCAGGTACTTCTTCAGGTTCATCCTGCGCCTGCGAGCGGGAGAAAAGACATGGGAAGGGCTGAGCTGGGAGCAGGGTTTGGGCTCTGCTGGGAGCAGGGTTTGGGCTGTACTGGGAGCAGGGTTCATGCTCGCCAATGTGCTCGCTCAGCGTTTAACACAATTGCTGTTAAAGGTAACCAGGACCCTGGTGCGCCAGGCTGTCGGCGGGGCAGGAGAAGGGACCTGGGGGCAGCAGCCCCTTTCCCCGGAGGAGGAAAGCGGACCCGCGCCGCGGC